CGCCCCCGCCAAGAGCCCGGCGGTGCTGGTGGGCAGCCTGCCGATCCTGTGGCTGGTGCAGCTGCTGCTGGCCAGCGGCGTGCAGTTTGGCGTGGGGGCGGCGTTCTACGCTTCTGCCTACCACAGCCTGCGCTCGCGGCGCCCTAACATGGCGGTGCTCGTGTGCCTGGGGACGAGCGCGGCGTACGTTTATTCAGTCATTGCGATGGGCCTGGCGGCGGCGCGACCGGGGTTTGTGGGGCACGTCTACTTTGAGAGCAGGTGGGAGCTGGGTTTGGGCATGCATCCGTGCGTGTGCGTGTGTGTGTGTATGCATGTGTGGGCGTGTGCGTGTGCGCACGTGCGTGTGTATGTGTGTGTGTGCGTGTTTGGGGGGGGGGGCTTTTGTGAGCAGGATGAGACTGCTTGCAAGGACAGAAGGCGCGTTGAGCAACGCTCTGCGGACGGGTCCACCTTCAGGGTTTTGGGGGCTGCATGCCGAGCTGCTGGCGGGACGCAGCGGGGCGCCAAGCCCCATATGCAACCGCTCGTCGTCCGCGCTGCTGACCCCTCCTGTGGGTTTGCGCTGCCACCTTCGGTTCCCCCCCGCACACAGTCCAAATGAAACGCGATTCCGCCCATCCTTTCCCTGATCAATCCCCGCCCACCCCAGTGCCCTCATCATCACCTTTGTGTGCCTCGGCAAGTGGATCGAGGCGCGCGCCAAGGCGCGCACGGGCGACGCCGTCGCCGCCCTCCTGAGCCTCACGCCCCCGACGGCGCTGCTGCTGGCGGCGCCGCCCCCTGCGGGCGCTGGGGCAGGGGGCGGCGCTGACGATGCGGCCGGTCTCAAGGGCGGAGATGGGGCCGGGCCGTGGTGGTCTGGCGGCGACGTGAAGGAGGTTCCTCTGGAGCTCGTTCAGGTGAGAAGCTGCCGGAAGCTGCAGGAAGCTGCAGGAAGCTGTGTGGTAGCTGGAGCGAGCCTACGGGCCAGGAGGTCGGACCGCGTTCACAGGCGGCGTGGCGCCTCCTGTATGGCCCCTGGCCGCTCCTTTCGCCCCACGCTGCGGGCAACGCTGCTACCCAAATCGCCCCAACCTCGCCCCCTAGCCCTCCCGCCCGAGCGCGTACCAGGATCACCCCCCCCCAAACCACCACCACCTCTACGC